GTTTATGATGCACTCATATTGTCCGATGAAGCTTAGAATGATATTAATTCAAGTCGTAAGCTTGCCTTTGGATTCTCAAGCTGAAATTGACCCTGTGTGAAAGGGAATGCGACCACATTTTCCAAATGTATGTCCATAACAATCATCAACGACAATTTTCTGGTACAAAAATGTTAGAGAAAATTATGTATCCCCCTGTATTACAAAATGTTCTATATTTTTGCAACAATTACCTGGAGGCCACCCCCAACCCACCACCTTTTTTTGTTTGTTTGCAGAATTGCCCACCAATCCGACATTTCTAATACTAGACGTGTGGAAAGTTCCTCAATTTTTCATTTTTTTTTAATTTATTCAAGGTAAGTCTGATTTCATAAATGCCAAACGACCGTATTTGTTGCGTTGTTTGGTGTTTGTAATGTCGGACAAGCCCTAGTTCCTACAGCGTCTGACTGTAGCAATATTGAACAGATGAATTTGTGGCTTTTTTACAATGTCCAGGATTTGTAATATCGGACGGGTTTGATTTAGGACATATTCAATCGGTCGATATTGCTAATGTTGGACACCCTATGAACTTAGACTTTTGGGTTGTTTGACATTATTAATACAATCCAACAAGGTTATTCAATAATTCTGATATCAAACACACCTTGAAACAAAGAAATACTATAAAAGTTGGGAAAGTTCTTAATTATCTGGTGTTGAAAATGTCTGGGCAATTCTAGAAAGAAAGAGTGATGGGTGGGGGTGGTCTCTTTGTAAAAAAAAACTCGACGTCTTCCCCTGAATTAACCGAAGCACCAAATTGCTTCATTTTTTAGACAAAACTGAAACAAGCTCTTAAGCAAACCTGACAACATTGGTCTAGACCAAACCCCACACCATCACACTCTCTAAAGAATTTGAAGTGAAAAGGTTTATGATAGCAACACAAAGCAAAAGTTTGTTTATGATAGCAACACAAAGCAAAAGTTTGTTTATGATAGCAACACAAAGCAAAACTTTTTTTTTTCCAAAGGGAAAAATAAAAACACAGAGATATGAAATGTTATCCCTCTCAAAGGGGGTAAATCTCCTCCTTGATGATAATGATATGATCGTTAAGAGCACTGAATTATGCGCAATATGAACTATGATGGCTCGAGAAATGAAGGTTTAAACAACATAAGAGGAATATCTCTATCTTGAGACCTTTTTTTCTTTTTTTTGTAGTTCAGTGGGGATGGAGTCCTTACTTACATTAAGAGTGGAATTCAAGACGCCATATTGTAATATTCTGTCACGGTAACCACTTACCCTTAAGCCCATTTCTAAAAAGGGTTAATCAGTGGGGATTTGTGCCCAACCCATTGGTGAGAATGGAGTCTGAGATTTCATCATGAATGATGTTGGAAGAAGATACTCCAATCCAAAAAGATTAGGGTTTCCTCTTTCTCCCCCAATATCATCTCATTTGGTAGAAGGAAGAAAGATTAAAAGAGCAGGAAGAACCTCCATAACAGCCATGAGATCTTACCATAATGAAGGAAATTCTTCGAAACCTTTGTTTTACCTCGCGATGCCTTGGTACTTGTATGTAGACGAGTCCTTTCAAGTTTTGGACTAGGGGTCGCACGTTATGGCCACTTACTAAGCTCGGTAGAAAAGGCCGCATTGTTCCTTGTGATACTGATTTCACCCAAGAAGAGTACAAGAGGCCAAAGCCTTGAGATTTTATGCTCTTGGGGAGTATTATGTCTATTTAGTCCCTTGGATAAAACCTCTTCTAAGATTTATTTTAGGAAATTTTGAAGATATAACCTATTCAACCATAGACTAATCTCAATATAAAATAAAATTCCTAATTTGGCCCCAAGAATGAATTGAGACTGTCCAATTTCTAGAGTGTAAGATCCAAAGTGTTAGAAAGCTCGAAGGTCAATTTCTTTTTTCTTTTGAGAAAAATCACCTATAATCCTTAGATGGTTCTTGAAAGATCAAATTGAAGAAATCATCCCAGGTAGAATTTTTGATGGATGGAGCAGATATACTGGGCTCCCGCAGGAGCATAATATATACGCTCAAGGCTAAATGCATATGCATAAGCCTCAAGCATGTGGTACACGAGCCACAATGTGTTGGATGTGAATGGCCTTTCAAGGCGTCCATCGCCCTTTGTTCGTGATAATATATAGTGGATTTCGGCTCCGGTGGGAGCATGGGACCCGAAAGGTACCTTATTTTGGGTGATTCTCTGGATCAAGGCGGTCTAGGGCCCAAGACTGAAAAAGGTCAGAGTCACGGTAAAAGACAGTTATGGGCCTAAAGGCTTTGGGGTTATCCCTCAATCGAGGTAGATGATATACCTGTGGGTTTAGCCGGAGGGTAGAGTGAAACCTGCACGTGAAGAGTACAACGTGCGAAGAAGAGGGGTAAATCCCCGACCCGACCGTTCACTTCCCGTGGCATGTGCATATCGCAACTGCAATTTGGGAAGGGAAAAGGCTGTGCATATGTACCACAGAGAGGAGCCCCCACACTTATGGTGCTCCAGTTGAACTCAAGGGCACACCTGGAATCCAATCACAAATCCCATTGTTGTCAATTGTTTGGATGGACCAATTGTGAGCCCCTATGTCAAATTGTGAATAATAGGTCGGGTTTTGCACGAGCCAAAATAGAACGCCCTTGCAAATTTGTATATCCAAGCCCCGTAGGCGCTTATATATCCTTGTAGATTTTCATGACCTCCAAACCTTTCCCAAAAGTCAAAATAAACATAAAAAATTATTTTTAGGTATTTAATTATTATTCTTTTTGGACCTTAAATGGTGAAGAGATGCCACACCTTAAATTACCTACAAGGGAGATCATGCATATCTTTCCTGTTTATTTGTAACCTCTAAAAAAATGTGTCCTTTTTCAAGATTAATGAGGAAAGGTGCGCCCTTCAAAATGAGATCACGGTTGCCAACATGCTTTTGATAGCATTAGATCTCTTAAAACCATCCGTACTTTCTAATCTTATAAAGGAGCACTATCATATTATATATGATTGCAGCAGAGCATAACTGCCTATCAAAAAATGTGCCATGCACTAATATTCTTTTTTTTTGGACCAATGTTATTACTTTTATTAATACTAAGAAAACTCGATTACATTATTAGAGATAACAAAGATAAGTTAAAAAGCACTACCCTTAGTCAGCTCATCAACCATCGAATTTGCTTCACGATAAACATATGTGCATCCTTACGCACGATCCTAAACTATTTGTCATGTAATGCTACACCAAAACACTCAATTATTGATGCAAAAAGCTAAATAATTCTTAGGTAGATTTTATCTCATATATGTAATATCCAGTCCCAAGAGATATTAGCTACGAAACATATGTACACTTCTAGACGCACGAATCTAAACTATATAATTTTAATTTTCCCTTGACATAGAAGACTCATTTTTATAAACAACAAGCTTAATTGATCCTTTTGTAATTTTTCTTCATATGTAATACTTTCCTTGCCATTTGAGTACAAATCATGTCGCACGAATGCTTTTAGAGACATAAGCCTAAACCATATGCCATACCCTTTTGCAAAAGTTTGCAATGTATGTGCACTGATTTTTAGTTATATGCCAAAAATTATTAAGAGTAGAATGTTCGTGTATTCCCTCGAGTAAAATATTATCTAGAATTAATTTTAAAATTTAAAATTTTGAGGTTGCAACCTCTTCAACTCATAGATTAACCCAATAAAAAAGATTTTCTAATTGAACTCTCTATTCACAGCCCAATTTATGGATGATTGTTTGAATGAAGATGCCACTGTTCTCAGTGACAAAAATATCATCTACATAGATGAGAATATAGGCCATATGATAATCAACATTGCAAATAAAGAACGAAGTATCTATTTTTTATCTCATAAAGCCAAGCTCCATGTGAATTGTACTAAGACGGTGAAACCATGTCCATGGAGTTTGTTTCAACTCATATATTGTTTTTCGAATGTGGCAAACATGCGTCAGATGACGTTGATCAATAAAACCCGGTCGCTAAGCCATAAACATTTATTTTGGAAGGTGACCATACAAAATTGCATTGTGTATAACTATCTGTCTACTTGGCCATCATTCAGACACCGCACTCACTATAAGACAGGCCTTGTGTCGCTCAATCGATCCATCGGCCGAATGCTTGATCTTAACATTGATCCATTTGCAACCTATAACATTGATTTTGGGCTGGGATGGAACGAGTACTCATGTCTCAGTCTGGGCGGGGTCCTGGCCACCCAAGCCGGACCTTGTGTCGCAAAATTTGCAAATGACTTCAAATAATTTAAGATTACAAAACTTTCTATGTATCCTAACCACGTGTAAATTATAAGGCTGAGGATACCTAGCTATATGATTAAATCATAGGACTAGAAAATACTGGGATAACAGTTCTCATTCCGAAATAAGAAATATGTGTACCTCTTTATAATTGTAATCCCAAATAAAAGCTTAGGTTGAACCTCCTCAAATTTTTTATAAAACTGATATTTAACCTCCTTTCGACCTTTTTTTATTATTATCTAAATTATAATATTTATTATTATTATTATTATTTTAAATGACCCATCCAAACCCTAGAAAAGTTACCCTGTGGACTGTGGACCTTTCCAGCCTCTCTCTCTCCCACAAGGAGTTTGATTATAATATCCTAGATTCCTCATTCAAAAAAAGGAAAAAGAAAAATATTATAAATAAGATAATAAAAAGAAAAGCTTAGAATTAAGCTTCATTTTCTATTAACGTAGAGGGAATGCATGGACCGTTCTTTTTCGCAATAGTGGTGTAGTTTTCAGAAGACAGGAGAAAATTTCCCACAAAATAAAGGGTATAAAATTCATCCGAGCTAATGAATGGGTTGAACAGTGATGGAGGAAGTCCAACAATACAATGAACGGTGATGCCATATTTCCATGGTCATATGGATCCTGATATACTTGACATGAGAATGGCTATGCTCCGTGACCGTCGGCCCCTCTCCCCCGTCCTATCCAGCAATGGGATATGCTCCCGCGGGAGCATATAATTCTTTCTGCTTACGATGTTTTGCTCGAGAGACGGAGCGAGAGTTGAAGATTTAGCAGTAGGGAGAGTGAGGGGCAGAGCCTAGAGAGAGAGAGTGTGTGAATTTAAAAATGGCGGTGTCAATCTCTTCTTTCACCTCTATTTTTCTCTCCAACCCCCATCCTCTTCCCCTTCTCTCTGTAACTCCCAAATGCCAATACCCCCTCCGCTTAGTCCTCTGCTCCTGTGAGTAACGAATCTCCCTCTCTCTCTCTCTCTCTCTCTCTCTCTCTGTGCTGTGTGTGTTTGTTATTTAGTTCTATTTGCTTAGTCTTTCTCTCTCTATCGCTCATTATGTATCAGCAGCTGGCAAAGATGGAGTGCTTAGGGACAGAAGAAAGCAAATTCTGGAGGAGTATGGCCTTAACCCTTCTGATTACGTCTCTGATCCTTCGGAGATCACACCAAAGGTCTAACACCCTCACTTCTCATTTATCTTCTATAATTCTCTTTTCATGATATTTTTTATTTATTTGGCCAAACCCTGATTCATACTTTTTTCCTTCAATGTGTTTTCCGTGGAAGTATTTCATCAGAGGTCGGAAACCCTAATTCATATTTTTATAGTGTAATGCCTCTGCGTGGATTTTCTTTATTAAGGAACGAATCGTAGTTCATATGTCTCTTGTATTCTCTTGGAATGGCCTTATCAACAATGCAAATCCTCTTTCTCTTTCTCTCTGTGAATTGGGGGCGTAATTATGCAGGCACCCCGGAGAAAGAAGGGACGAGAAAATCCACCACCAAAAGGAGCTAGAGTCGCACCAGAGGAGCACAAAATCCCTCGGACTACCCATAAATTGCTTCAGGCACTTCTTCTTCATCACTGTTTTTCTGTCATTTCTTCTGTGATCAAAATTTTGTGATGTGTTTGCATTGTTCATGTATAATTTATTTAATGTGTATTCCATGCTATATGATGACCATTGCGACATTTTTGTTTTAATTTATGGTTATTTTGGTCTTGTGCAATGTGTTGTATTGTTTTTAAGATGTTACCTGTAATTCTACTAAAAAAATATTCTGGGTTTGCTCTGTAATTCACTTGATCTCATCGGTCCTAATTTCCTAAAAAGTTTAAGGCTACGTTGACCATGTAAAATCCCCATGGGTTTTTTTGAGAAAGTGAACTTGTATTGCGATAAAGGGAGTACAAAAATGGCAACCCAAAAAGGGTGCTCTATACAACATGACAAAGTGGCCCACTAAGCAAAAAAATTATGGGCTAGTTACAATGAAAGGCTGTAACAGCCCCATGGTTTGTTGCTTAGGAGTGTCTTGGAATTGTTTTGTTCCCCTTTTGCTCTCTTATTTCAAGCAATGCATGCACTATATTCATGCATAGTTTGCGCATTGTGTATGAATGCATACACTTATATCCATGAATATGTATGCTGGACATGCCTGCATAAATACACTTAATATCCGTGTTTAAGGACTCGATAGAGTCCACTCCGAATCAGCCAAGGCCAAGTTGAGCTCCAGGGGACAACTCACTCTTAAATATTGTGAAAAAGTCATTAATTTTGTTAAAAAATCTTCATATATTATTTAGAAACACATTTTTATATGATCTGTATGATTTTTATGATGATTTGGGAAGTTTTATTATTGCATGCTCCAATTTTTTACCTTTCCTTTTTTATTTTTCTGAAATATTTTCAAGTATAAATCAATTTTTTCAATAATCCATTTGTAGACTTTTAATGATTTCTATTACTTATTTTACTGTTTTCTATTTTTAATTATTTTTAACAAATTTTTTATATTTTTTTTAGACATCTAGGCTTTTAATGACCTGTACAAGACACGGCCAAGTCCACTCGGACTCAGATGACGTACTTGGTTACCTGGCTTAGGCCCAGGGCTGAGTCCAAGGCCTGAGCCAAGTTAGAAAACATTGCTTAATTGTTATCGGATGTTTAGAAGCGCAACAATTTTCAGCTTATGTATTCCGCTTTTTAAAATAATACATGTTTTTTGTACTATATGCCCTTTCTAGGTGTTAGGAGGGAAGGCCCGTAGAAGAAAACTGCTCTCACCAAAAGGCATGGATGTGCGTCCAATGATGGAAGTTGTGAGAGGTGCAGCATTTGATATATTGCAGGTCATAACAATGAGTTAATGTAGTTGTTGCTACATAGTTATGGTACATCCAGGAATTCAGTTGTTCTATTTTGCATTTGGAATTTATGGTTTGTAGGGACTTCAAGTTTTCTCTTCTTTTAGTATTTGATGAAACCCTTTATTCAATTTTTTTTTCCCTGTAGTTATCTCTCTCTCTCTCTCTCTCTCTCTGCAGCATAGAACGGCTTTGTAGGTCATTTAAGTTCTTCACGTTTTCTTTTTGTCAGGTGGCTGGTGGTTGTCCTGCTTCTTTAAGACCAGGTCGTTGGTTAGATTTATACAGTGGCACGGGATCAGTTGGGATTGAAGCGATTAGCCGTGGTTGTTCAGAGGTGCTTTACTTAGTTTGCATCGATGTCCAAATATGTGTTCTATCATTTATTTTCAATTTGTATTTCTTGTTTTGCTGCACATCTTTTGGATACTCATTGAGTCTTTTTGCTTGCTATCTTTCACCTTTGGACCCTAAGATGAGATCTCATTCTGTATGTCAGAATTTGAGTTTTGACTTTATCTTTTTTACTGATATATATCATTTCCATCTAGTGTGTGTCGGCCAAGCAGTATGAACAGTGATACCCTTTGGGTGAAAGGATGTGTTTGCTTCAGGAATATAAACAAAGGGTGGTCTACCTGACTGAACTATCCCTCACATCGACACCTCAACGAAACTATTAAAAGGAATGGGACAAGATGTTATTAACCCAAATGTTATTGCATACAAGTCTAGAACCCCTATCTGAATTTAGAGATGACAATGGATGCAAATGCAATTTTCTCATATGCATTTGAGTCTTATGGTTTCTCTCTGTCGATTTTGGATTGAGTTTTATTATTTGGAAGCACGTGTGATTATGCTTGAATAATTTCTGACATGAGTGCATTTGGATTCAAATTTTAAATAACTGTATTATTAGAACCATGACCTGAACTTGAACAATATTGTTGTATTTAATTTTAATATGTGCTTGATTTGATGTAAAATTTCTCAATTGATAAGGATCGTGATATCTAATGAATTGATGTAAAATTTTTCAATTGATATGGATCGTGATATCTAATTCCTTATCATGTTATCTACAGTGACATTATAGCTAATGATTGTTTTAGACTTTCAGTTTACATGGATAAACACAAATAATTATTCCCTGATGTCTTCCAGTTCTGCTTTTCTCATGACAAATGTGTAGGAAGCATAATCTATTTTTCTGTGTAGGGAATATAATCTTTTTCTTACTCATTTTTCTTATGTTCACCAATTTTTAGGTGCATTTCATTGAGATGGACCCATGGGTTGTGTCTGAAGTCTTGAGACCTAATTTAGAGTGTACAGGTTTTTTAGATGTTTCAGTTATACATACAATTCGTGTTGAGAATTTCCTTGGACAGGCTGAGCAATTTCCGGGTATGCACCTTTTTGAAGTATTGGGAAAAATACTCTGCATCGTTGCCAATTTTGTTTTCTTTCCTTTTTCATAGAATCTTTGTGCGGGTCAGTCACTTGATAGTTCTGATCCATTGATGTATGAGTTAAGGTTTTGATTATGTAAGCAGGCAGATCCTCTTTGAGATTTTTTTTTACATTTATATGCTTATAAAGAAATCATCTTCTTGTTAAGACAATAGGATCTTTTGATTTCTAGATTGCTTGTATGCAAACTTCATAGTCCTCTGGGCTAATGGGAATTTCTTGTCAATTTCATTGCCTAAGCAAGTTATAGTGACTTGTTTTATAGGACACTGGTTCTTTCTGACCTCAGCTTTATTGTATTTTAGGAAAATTTGGAACTTTTGATTACATTAGTGTCACCCCACCCTACACGGAAGTCAATTACAGTGTACTGATGGATCAGCTTTCTCGGTCCCCATTAGTTGGAAAAGATACATTCATTGTAAGTTTTTCTTTTCCTCGCAACTGACGAATTGATTCTTTCGTGGCAATTTCTCATAATTTAATCATTTTGACGTTGTTTACCATTTTCATGAATTCAAGTTGGTGGAGTATCCACTAAGGACCGTGATGTTGGAATCCTGTGGGTCTCTTGTTAAGGTGCTGTCTCCTGCTTTTTTCAATAAATCAAAAAAAAGTTCCCATGGTAGAACTAATGAGAAGTTCATAGAAATTTACTTGTTATTTCATGGATTGGCCTATGGTCATTTTTCTTATACACATTATACATTTTCATGGTTGAAATTTACTTGTTATTTTATGCATTGACTTATGGGTGTTTTTCTTATGCATATCAGATATTATCATGGTTTTTTCACATTGATATTGATGCTGCAGGTATCTGATCGGAGGTTTGGGAGGACCCACTTGGCTATTTATGGACCACCTTGGTCACAAAAGAAAAGGAAATCAGAAGAACTATATATCAGTTCCTTGGAATCTCAATTGCAAGCTTCAAGCCTGGGTTGAATTTGAACAATTATGAGGTCACATATGCCAACATCATGCAGGTGCATAACATGGATCAATATGTAGACTTGTTCCAGCAGGCCTTTGTCGGACCTTCTTGTGTTTCCTTGTTGCAAATCCCTAGTTCCACAATCCTTGATAGATTATGCAATTCTACTTGTAGAGTTAAGAGTTGAAATCATATCCATACAATCCCACCCAATGCCTTTCATGTTTGGAAAGGTTGGTTGTATGATGAATTATTTGAATTCCTTTTGAAGTCAAATGTTGATTCTTCTGAGTGTTTCTCATGCAGGGTCTGCAGTACTCGATAAGATGTTCATTTTTGGGACACAGGAGGATGTCTTCCTTTTTAATTCAACTAAGAATGGCGTGGAATCATACATGGTATTTTTGTTTCATCCCATATCCTTCTTGTATAAAAAATGCATTGGGCATCACCAAGTGCATGATGTTTGGTTTCTGCAATTGTCAAAGCCATAAACACTATGATGATTGGATTGAACCAACAGTTTTAGATGCTTTAAACTTGTTGTTTACAGGAAAGAATGTCATATTTTGTACCTAATCAGCTTCCAAATCACATGCATCAATGAGAAAGCATAGAGTCCCCATAAATTACTGCAATATGTTCTTTGTCAAATTGAGGCTCTCATAACATGACTCTTTATCTTTAACATGTTAAAAAAAATCATGACTACTATCTTTCACCTTTAGACTCCATCCTCATAGCACATTGAGCCTGGGAGAGTTGTCTTTATCGGATGTCTTGCAAGTGATACACAGGTGAATAATGAAGAACAACTTTTCTACCTGTTTCCTATTGAAACCTCTTTAATATAATTGTCTCTTAGGTGGGCTCCTCAATCAAGTGTTTGGTTCTTTGGATTTCTTCATTAGAGGAGCATGTCTATTATGTTTCTGGCCTCAACATCTGATAGTATGAAATAGTAGCTCGTTACCACCTGTTGCTCACCAGTAATCATTCCCAAGCACAACTGAATTCAAGAATCTGTAGAAACAATCACCCAAACCACCACGCCAGGTATATTTTGATATGTATATAGTAGGGAAAAGACTAAAGGAAAGTCATTTGAGTAAGAGAATTCAGTTCACTTGCTGAGACAGTATCAAATAGCAAGATTCCAATCCACAATAGAGATTAACAGAAGTCACAGATACAATTATACAAACCCTTCTAAGTCGAATTAGGGAGCATAAATCCCAAAACTAAGGGCACTTTCAGATGATGGTTAATTTATTAGTAAACCATCTTACTTGAAATTAATGTACTATGCATAATGTTATTTTGTTAGTTGTTTGGTGCATACTCTGTATTGTGCACCATATTATTTAAATATTTAATTTTTTATGCGATTTTCATCTATTCTTAATTATTTCTAGCTAAAAACATATGATTTTCAGCAAATTACTTTGAACAAAGTAAAAACTACTTTTTCATGAAGATAAACTTTTATATATAATCGGGCTTGGGTCAAGGTAGTAGTAGCTGGGTTTTCATAGCACTACATCTTAAGTTCCATTCCTATGTAACCTTATCAAAAAAAAATAAAAATAAAACTTTTATTTATAATTGCTTATCAGTTTATTATACTATGTAAACTTGTCAAAAAAAAAAAAAATCTTTATGTATAATTGCTCATCAGTTTATTATACATAATTTTACGAGAGACACTACCAAGCTAACACATTATCGGGATTAATTTTATTGAAACACTTAATTATCAGTGATGACAACTACATCCAAGCAAACCTCAAGAAACATTGATATTCGCAAAGGCGAGCAAAAGAACCATCTGACCATTCATAATCCTCTTATTAATTAAAAGAAAAGAAAAAGAGAAAAAAAAAATGCTGCTGAAGATACCTTTTGACTTCTAGGAATTTGATAAAATATTTATGACTCAAACGAAAACTCAATTTCGCCAAAGCAACCCCGGTCGCTTAGAAGAAATTTTGGCAAGTTTACTGCCTTATTAACTCCTAAACGTTTAGAGGGTTGCAAATTGAAGAACTCAAATTTGGCATGTTTACTGCCTTAATAATCCCTAAAATATTTTAGGGTTGCAAATTGGGTTTGGTCCTCGTCGGTCCTAGCTCTCTTGGTTTTGACTCAGTGGTTCGTGATCATAGTAAGTCGGGGAATAATAATAACGAAAGCTTTCTATGTTCCCTCTACAACATAGAAGTTCTATCCTTCCTTTTTTTCAACCCTCCATTTTTGAATTGAGGGTTAAGATTGCCCCAATCAAAATATCATTTCTCTATACTATTTTATTTTTAATTATTTTTTATAATCTATTTTGATACCAAAATTTGGACATCCATTCCTCTATTAAACTCATACAAACAAAAAATATAAAAACAATATTTTCAATAAAATAAAATGATTAAAATACCCCTAAAAGTTTTAAGGGGTATTTTAGTCATTATTTTTTATCAAAAAATTATTGTTAATATTTTTTATAGGTGCACCCCAATGAGAAATGGCATGCACCAAATTTCATATTCAGAAAAATTGTATTAAAAAAACTAAAAATAAAATATATTGAGACCTCGGATCTAAGATCAAACGGTGAGTAGCTCTCTTGATAAAAAATTGACGGCTGGATGGTAGGGGGAGGATAGAACTTCTATGTTGTAGGGGGAACATAGAAAGCTTTCCTATAGTAATATATCGACGAACAAAATTATCGGTAATAAATCAGTTTTATTTCAAAAAGTCAGAGGAAGAAATCAGGTAGAAATGCATATCGTCGAAAATTAAGCAAATAATAGAATTGAATATTTCGGATTTGACTAAAAAAATAGAGTGAAAAAATAAGATATGTAAATATGACATTATATAGATATATTAAAGCCATTGAACAATAATTTTATGGCCTTATTTAGTGTCGTTATAGTAATGCTTGACAGTTTATTTCTCTAAACTTTCAACAAATGCAACAACAATGCTTTTTATGTTGTCAGAAGACATCATATATTATATTTATTGGAAGCATAAATTGAAACAACAATAATATTAAACACTAGAACTACATTAGTAAATAACAAGAACCGTAAACCAAGGCATAAAATTATTGTTCAAAAACAAAAAAAACAAAAAATACCATTAGTATAGGATTGCATTTAATTAAAACGGAAAACAAAGACCCAAATATATAAAATAGTGGTCCATTCAAAATGCTATGTTGTATATACCAATGAAATAAAAAATAGAAGTAAAAATATAAAATCAAACTTCTTTATACATAAAGAAAGCAACAAATAAATTCAAATCTCACATTTAATTCTTATCTGCCTAAATCTTCAGTATCATTGAATCTCTCTCTTGCTCCTTATAAGGATGCTCTAGGTTTAAAGAAAAAACAAAAATTTTCCTTGGGTTAATCTTTTTCTAATTCTACTTATTATTTTGATATATATGATTGTTTTAATATCTTATTTTTTGGAGAATATATTGTTTATATATTTTTTTGACGCTTTTTTTTAAGGGAATTTAATGGTGAAACTTTTTATTGATTTTTTTTGTTAAATCAAGATTTTGATGTACTCGCACTGTTAATGTGTTTATCTTTAAATCAAAATTTAATATTATTAAGTTAATGAAGAAATAAAGTTATGGGAAAGTCCTCTTAGTTACATGAGTGATGGGGTTTCTATAGAGCTCTCCCTCTCTTTAAATAATGGTGGATACTGAAAACTCTAGATAATTGCATAAAAAGAAAAAGATGAAAAATACAACTAAAATTTGGGTAAATGAAAAATTGACCAAAAAGGACATGCACAATGTTTAAATTTGACGATTGGGTCCCGCAAATAATGCCTCTTCCCATCCACATAGTATAGGCCTTGGTTTTGGCTTCTTCAGTGCCGAAACAAACGATCTACGATAGTAAAATTGTAAATCATGCCACCCCAATTGTTTCGATATAATATTTGCATAGAATCATGAGGATTTGATGGAGCTTTTGGTAGTTTTGGGTTTTTAAGTTTTTATGCAATTTAATGGAGCTTTTTGTAGTTTTGGGTTTTAAAGTTTTTATCAGCGTTTTAAAAAACACCGAGTCGAACTGGACTCGCCTGGTTCGACTCGGAATTCGCGAAAAGGGACCGGATCGGTTGAAAAATCGGAAATCGTCCGGTTCTAGAGAGAACCGGACGATTCCGCACAGTGACTCGCCGATTCACTGTACGGAATCGGCGACTCCGAACAGTGAATCGGCGAAGTCCGTACGGATTTTTTTTTTTTTT